CAGGGCTGGCCAAGGGGCTTGGTCCGGATTAGTGGGGAAGATTAAGATGGTGTGGTTTAAATTTCTCTTTAAACAGTATTTTGCTTATAMTCCGGAGAAGAAAAAAGCGTATTTCCAACAGTTCAGTAATCAYGCTTTACATCCTCACTGTCTTCTGGAGTGGCTGCTCCTTCCCCACCACTGTGCCCGTGCTGGAGCAGKCTGTGTTCCCAATGCTCCCAGCCCATGCCCATGTTGCCTATGCTGTCTGTGCAGCTGGAGGAAAACAGATCGGGCACCAGAAACAACGTGGCCTTCTGCCAGCCCCTTCCAATTCTGTTAGTTATTATTAATATTTTGCTTTCACTGTCTCACAGATGAGAATGAGCATGTTTTTTTTTCCTGGCTTACTCGGATCACTGCCTACCTTTACATTCCCATATAAGAAGTTAAAATCTGGACTTGCTCCATGCTTTTTGTATCCTGTCTTTTGGGGAAAATGCTAACAGCCTCTCTGCCCACTGTGGGTAAAAATAGCGTTTTTCACATTCTTAAAATTGAAGGTTGGCTACAATTTCTGGTTTCCATCTGCCAAATACACAGCTGGTAGAATTTCCTATACTAGAAAATAATAAAGGAAGAAAAAATTGCTTTTTGGGGAGACTTGGGCATAATGAAATATACTTAGTGGTACCTGAGGGGTTCTCACCAACTGAGAAGGAAACATTTCAGGTTGGCACACCACTTTTCTAGAATGTGGTCATTGACACTTGTAGGTCACAAAAGATGGATCTAGGGAGCACTATGGGGATGTCTGGCCCAGGAGTCTGGTATCCAGTGTGGACTAGTTTTAAGTTGCATCCTTGTTAGTGTGCTTACATTAAAACTGATAGGACAATTCTTAGGAATCTGATGTTAAGATGGCTTCTATAAATTAATTAAACTAATTAAAATCTAGAACACTAATTAAAATCTAGAACAAATGAAGATTAGCTTGTGATAAATGCTTTGTTTCTTATATGAAGTCAGGGGTGTTTGCTTTTTGATGAATTAAGGAACTATTCTTTAAAGAACTATTTCTACAATAGAAAACATGTCTGAAAGAACAAAAGACCAGGTTTACAAAGTGACAGAAGTCCRCTCCAGAATACATCTGCCTCAAAGTGGTGCCTGTATATGAAGACTCAAGTGTGCTGGGAAAAAAAAAAGTTCTTGTTTACAGTGATTTTAAATAATAAGCAGTTAATTCAATAAACAGCAGATGCAGACTTGTATAAACCCACATAAAGTAAATAAAATATTTTTGTTAAATATGTAAGAGATTTTTATAATGGACAAAATTCCTAAATAGATTTGCATTTCAATTACATGTCAACATTTCATATAACTATTGAGAAAGTTTAATGTTTCATCTGAACTTTGGCTTAAATGCTCCTGATTTGTATCCACGATCACTTTTCAGGATTTGAAGATTCTTCTTGCCTGAAAGTGGGCAGGAATCCCTCCTAAAGCCCACATTTGCTCTAAAGCTAGTCTGAATCAATTACCACCGAGTTACCAATAAAGCTGCTGTTGCATTTATATCACAGAACTGAACTCTATGGATCTGAAGCTATTTGCGTTACAGCTAGAAACTCAAACAAATTCTGCCATTGTATAAGGACTGGTTTCCTCTACCTTTCAGACTATTTGGGTTACTATTTACAGACCTTTCTGTATTTTTAACCATATTCTTTAACAGAGTACTGCAATATCAGAGATTGTTCTGACAGACAGAAGCTTAATGCTTTGAAAAACATTAACATGAACAAGACACTAAAAAATAAATTCCTCCAACATCGTGCTGACAAACTTAAACAGGAGATGTTTGTTCTTCCCATCAAGATTGGATGACTGTGTTTGTCAAGTCTTTGTTTTGGTATTCTTATCTTCCAGCAATTTTACAGGGCTCGCTTAAGAAATGTAATGAAGTGTCATGTCTTGCTAATAACAATAAATAAGAGTAAGAAAATGAAAAACTAGATAAATTTAGCTGGGGTACACTTTGATACTGCCCTCAGCAGATATATGCACAACCCACAGAGCTGTTCTTCATGTAAGGTTTTTTCATTTTTCAATGTAATACATTTTCTTTAGTTTTGCTGCATTGTTCTGTGAACTCACAGAATTAGTTGGAACAGAATTAATGAGCTTCTTTGTGCATGATGGAATTGAAGCTTCTAAGGATTTTGTTATGGAGGAATCTATACTTACTGAATGTTTACTTTTTTTTTACAGTATGAACCAGTATAGAGTGAATGAATATACAGTAGACTTTCAAAACTTGTTTTAATTAGGGCCAAAATATGATTAGTGCAAACATGATATTTGGAGCTTAACTATGAAAAAGTCTGTAAACATTCTGAAGAATGTTCTTACTATCTTCGTTTAGTTGTTTGTTTATGAACTAAAAATAGGACAAAAAGAACAAACATTTCTAGATATACAACCATGGGAAATGATCAAAGGGGAAAAGAACAAAGAAAATAAGGGTAGATAATACTAACAAATAGGACTGGGTAGGTCTGGACACATAGCCAAGAGCCATAAAGGAGCAGATGGAAGAAGCAACACACAGAGAAACAAAACAGAGTTAAAACTAATATGCAAATCCCTCATGAATTTATTTATATCTTTGGCCTTTASACAACTTTGTTATTTCAATTAGACATCTATTCCTCTCTTACCATGTTACTGATAAAAGTAGGACATGCCCACCCTTTCACAAGTCTAATGTAAAGAAATACCGAAAATAGAAGGTTGGTATATGCTGAGAAAACAGTCCAAGACAAATATTATTGTGGAATTACCTGTAAGCAACCTTTGCAACTGCATTATGTATTCTGCTTTCAAGAAGCTATAACAAACATTTGACCATTCAGTTTAATATGTAAACACCAAAACTAGACAAGAAAAGCATGAAAATCCAGAATATTTCAAGAGGTATGGCTTACCTAGGTAGAAGCTTGCCAATTAGGGGATGAAGTAAGAGCTCTTATTCTGGTTCTGCCTGTTGCTGCAGCTGTTACGTGAACAGCAGAACTGTAAACAATCTTATCAAGCATAAACTTGCATTTCTTAGTGGTTACAAGGTAAGCTACAACATACACACCCCCCAATTGTGGCAGCGAAAGACATTTTTGGGTAAAATGATTACTGAAGAGATTATTAAAAGTGAAAGTCTAGCATATATACYGTACTTTCGGGCATGTTGGAAGCAATTCTAAATTGTTTTCATATCTAGTTCTAAGATATTCCAGAATTTTGAGTTTGTTTATTACCTGAGGAGGTTAGTCTATAGGGTCACTGCTGGAGACCCTGAGTGGGCAGTACATATCTGGCAGTCAATGTTACAGACATCTGGGAGAACATGAAACATTATTCCAAACCATTCCCCTACAGCTATGAACACAGGGAAGTCATAAAAAAAGCTGTCCCCTTAGCAGGGCTAGGGAGCATCCTGTGATGTGCAGCACAGCAGGTGACAGAGTGGCACTGCAAGCTGGAATCTGGTTCCTGCCCACCTTCAATTTCAGCAGAATTACCACCATTTCAGAGGAACTGKAAAGTTCAACTTTGAAGCAGTTGCAGCATCTAATATCTGCAAGGGAAGCTTGGAGAATTTGGCTATCACAGTTAACCTGTACTGGATCTATGGGACTGACTTAGGCTTTGAAAATTAACTCGGGTAACTTTGATATCAAGAAAGTGGCTAAAAGCTGCCATTCAAGATGTTACTCTAATTTTTCAAATCACTGTGAGGCACTGCTTGACAGAACCATGAGCTTTGAATCATGTGGTTCTATGATAAACATCTTTAATTCAAAACTACATTTTTGTTTGCTATTAATCTCACTGTGCCAAACTAGAGCAGCGAGARCCTCACTTTGCAATTTCCTGGCTCCTGAAGATACCCTTCCTGCTTTTCAGGTTCATGTTATTAATATAGAGTCCTTATAGCTGAAAGAAATGCAAACAGAAATTTCCTCTTGTTCTTTAATACTAGAATAAACTTTATATTCTGTATAATATTATGGAAAKATTTTCCCCAGCCAGCTATTTAGAGGTATTGGTGCTTGAATGATAAAGCATTATTTTCAAGGAATGCTGCTCACATCATATCCTATGACAAATTCATCATGCATGACCATGAAAACTAGTCAAGGGATTGTAACTATATAGTGGGTCACACCCAATGTAATGAATTTAACTGTTAGTTTTCCTTTTRAAGGAGGTTGTTCACTTGGCTTCATCCCTCTTTTAAAWTTTTTTTCTTAATTAAAACATATCYGGGGAAGTCTGCCAAACAAAAGAATTCTATGTGTCTTAAACATCTCAACAAGTAACAGTTTAAGGGCTGTTCTCCTCCCCCAGAATAGCTCAGCTATCTTTGATATAATTGTGTATACTTCACAGCCTGCCTATAATAAGCAGTGCAGCAACAAAAGTATATTGAAAAATGGCGTCTGGTCCCAGGAGTTCTCCTGTAGTGTAGGACAGTGAATGCTCATGGCTGGCCAGCCTCTGTGCTCTGTTGTGGCAAAGAATGAGCTGCTCTCTGAGGGCGCTAGGATGCTGGATTTAGACCATTAGCTAATTTTATTTTTTGTGTGAAAGACAAATCATTCCTCCTGAGCAAACAGCAAAATGTGGTTGCTTATCCCTTGCGCAGTGCTTGGGACCACATGTTGAACACGACAGGAGTATTTTTCTCCAACRAGAGAATTACCCCATTGTTTTCTCAGCTTTAATATGGATCTCAAAGCAACATGGGAACAGTTCTAGAGGTATGTGTCAGTTTTTACAGCAGCTCTTGGAATTAGAGGATTGAGTCACCCAAATTCATATGGGGGCTCTCACCTAGCAAGACTAAATTAAACATTAATGTCAATAATTCTGAATAACCAATAGCTTTCAAACTATTCCATAGTACTGTCTAGGCTCAAAGCATAGTTCCAACTTTAGGCACACATATCCTGTATTTAAAACAGATGGGCTCAAATTGCTTAAGTCAGGAATCTCAAAAATGAGAAATGCAGTATTAATGGTTGAAAAAGCCAGGTATAAGTCATTTACCATTGCTTTTCAAAAACATTCTATGACAAAGACATGAATAAATCATATTGCTCCAGGGAATAAGTTAAGTGCTTTAAATCTCATTTCTCTTTCTTCAACTCCTACTTTCCAGTTGCTGAAACAAATGAGATGAGGGTTCTTGGAAAACAGATCCTTTTAGTAAACAACTTCAATTTTATTGCATGGTCTTCATGCCCAGATGATTTTATTTATTATTATTATAGCACACAGGAGCTCTACTAAAAGTCAAAATTGTGTCAGACACTAGGCAAAGAGAGAAAAAAGTGGTGCACATGGCAGGTAACTTAACAATCTAAGACAAGAAACAGCAGGCTACAGTGCCAGGGAGTTCAAGGCCAGCGAGATAAACGCTAACCTCAGCTCACMATCAGCTTAGCTGTTGTTAAATTTCTGTGGGCACCACTGCAAAGGACATTTCAGGAAAGATTTGAAGACAAAGTTACTCCAGTAACTTTGGGTATTTGAGTGAATTTCTCCATGCTGTGGAGTCAGTGTCAAGGCTAGCATGGAATAATGAATTAACACCACAGTACTGTGACTGAATRGAAGTTCACTCTCCTACCAGCATCAACAAGACCAGCATATAGCTGCTATTTGGCTACATCTGCCTGCCTACAACTATTTGTGGAGGTGCAGCCTATAAAAAATTGTTTTTCATAACTTAGTGAAATGGAAGTCACATTTACATCAGCACCTTTTATACAATATTTAAAAAACCACAAGAAATAACTYGTCCTGCATGCCTATCGTAACACCACTGCTTAGCCTGAAAGGTGATCCCCCTGAATTTACTCATTTTATTTACATAATTTTGCATGACAAGAAGGAGCTGGAGGARGATTGAGATAGTATGAAAAAACCTACAATCTATGCATTCAGCAGTCAAYTGTACATCACCACCTTGGATGGCCACTCATGAGAGAAATGGCTGTTCCTGGGGTGGACAATGACAGCAGGCTGCAAGGCTCAGCAACTGCCTTCCCTGACTATGGCAAATGCCAGACAACCTTAATAACAGGGTTTGCCACCTGACTCTCCAGTAATTATGTTATTAATATTATAAGCATCCAAAAGCTGAGGATGAAAGTGTTTATCTAGGATTTCTATTAATCTGCATGTATGTGAAATTTTCTTATCTGAAAGATGTCTGCCCTCATTAGGGCTGAAATTGTTAGATATGCTATGTTCCCTGGCATGTATGCCAGGATTTAGGACTAGATTTTAGCTGTGTGGCAGAGCCGCAGTTTGCAGCAGCAGTTTGCAGTACCAGTTCACCACAAAAATATACAAAGGGCCRAAACATGCCCTCCTAAAATAAAACCTACCTACAGACACTATGGAAAATGAATTCAGTGAGGAATTTCTCCCATTTTTTCCAACAGAATTTTCCCCTTACTCTTTTGTGAGGGGAATGAGGAATCCTCCTGTGAGGAAGGTTCTGAAGAAGTGTCCCAGACTTAGTCCCCAGGAATGCATGCAGAGCCCAAAAAGCCGCCAYGGTCCAAGTTCAGCCACATGGAGCCCACATGCTCCTGCCAGAGGTGACACTTGCTCAGGGCAGCTCTATCGGAGCCACACAATCAGGAACTCCCTCTGTTTGTGACGATGCCATATCTGATCCTTTCCTTCCTGAATATAAATAGTTTCATTCTCAAGAACGGCCAGTGAGATATTAATCATAATTTCATGTTGCTATTTTTAAAAAATAGATACACAGCTTTGTCATGCACAACTTCCAACAGGAAATATTTTCACATTGTGGGAATGAATGTAACTCTTACTGACCAATAGAATATTCATGTCCCATTTTGCATGTTTTATTATGGTTATCCAATTTTATATGGACAATTTAAAATTACCAATTTTATAATTATGAAATACTGAAGCATTTTATTATAGTCTTGTTATTTCATTAATTATTAGTAACTGACTAGTGAATTTAAAGGATCTTTCAGCTGGTAATGTTATTTTTCAGCCTGTGGACAGACTTATTTCTGTTACTGTTTAATAGCTTTTATGAGGGAGCAACTCTATCAGAACAATTGAGTTTATTCACCGTTTTAATTTTGTTATACCCATGGTACATATTAGTTGATTCAAAAGCATTATATTTTCCATTACTGGCATTTCCTGAACATATAAATACAGAGTTACATTCYTTGGATTCAGTAAATTTATTTTGTCAAACTTCCCAGAGAGAGCTAAAGGGTAAGAATGTTATCCTTCTGCATGCATTTTCAATGATTTTCACTATAATATCCTTTTTCCATAATCAGAAGTGTTGGCAGGTCCCATAGAATACACACCAAAAGGAGTTACAGCCTCTCCATTAAGGTGACAGAAGCAATTCACATGTCTCATGAGGGGAACGTTCARCAGAGCTGTCTGTGAAGAGTTATATGAGGGTCACGAAAAAAAACCCACAGCACTGTTGAAAGACATTACTGACAGTCCACTGAGCTCCAGAAGGACATTGGCTTTTGTCTCTTCCTCTTCTGTTAAGCAGGAATACTTTTTGCATTCCTTCCCCTTTCACTCCCTAATTTACCAATAATATATTAATATCCTCAACAATTTTAAAAAGCAGTCATTTCTACTAGTGAATAATGAATGTTTCTAAGCATGGCCTAGCTGCTTATCCCAAATTTAAGRATAGGCCACCATCTACTTTACACTTCCATAAAATTAGCACTAATGATAAATGGAAGAACCAAATASAGATCCTAACCTAAATCAGCCATATAGTCTACCAACAAAAGCTGAGAGGGAGGCTGTGGGAATGCATGTTCTTTTGGAGTCAAATCCTTTTGTTTCAAGCCATAAGAAACAGCCTCTTCTGATTAAATTGCATTTCTCAAGGACAGCAGGTATTTCACTAGAAGATAATGTGACATGTTAAGTGCTAAAGTGTGGTTTTGTTAAAATATACAGTGTGTACATTTTACAAATCATCAGCTTTCTTCCAGCTTAAATCCTTAAAAAATAAACATGATTGCCTAACAATAAGTTACAAAGAACAAAATACACATTCCTGCTCACCCACAAGTTCCTAATGCATGTCACAGACAAGTATAAGATGCACAAGAAATATAGCCTAAAATCACTGTGAAGTCTTCAAAGCCATTCCCTAATAAATTCAGGAAAGGAACTTAATGTATGGGAAAATTTGGCTTTTCATAGCTTATTTCAAATTTTTTGCTTTATCCTTTGCTGGTGTCAGATATGATGATGTCACTGGTGGTGGTAGTGATTGACACCATAGAGAAAAAAACTGTGTTCTGAAAGGCTGAGAAAGGTCTTTTCTAATTTAAAAAAAATCTATGATTCTATGAAGCAAAGGTTAAGCAGTAGGAAAGAAAAACATTTTTTTTCTTCTATACAAACAATTGCAATAGTGTGCTGACATAATTTTTGTGTAAGTTTAAGCTCAGATGCTTGTATATTGCTTTCATTCTAACAGTACACACAATTCCAGTCAAAACACATTTTTCTAATTAAATTGCAGATTTAATATAATATTACAGAATTATGCACTTGTAAAAACACACAGCCAGCTATATGTGGTATCTGTATTGCATGAAGTCTATATTATTATAGGTTTCCACATTAAAAATTRGTCTTGGTAATAAAAAATGAGTACAGAAAATGTTATGCAGAAGCCAAGCTGTTTAGAAATACAATCTCTCAAGCTTTTAAGTAAAGCACAACTCTTTAATATGTATTCCAGAAGCCATTCCATTCTGAAGTATTTACCAAGCTGTCTTCGACAGCCAATTATTTCCCTTTGTTTTGGCTAGGCAAGGCAAGATGTACTCCAAACATATGAAGCAGTGTTTTATATACTTTTTGTATGATGCTTATAGAAATCTCAGTAGTTAATAAAAATTACAAAGAATAATAAATTAAATTCACTATTTATACTCAAAGTCTAGTTACGAATTTTATTTCAAAACATTTTGGGAATTGTACAGATGAGAGCTATATGCAACAACTTTTCTAAGAAGCTACATACTTAGTTGAGTATTTCCTTCTAAATAGTTGACAGTAGTGTCTTCTGAGAATTTAAAGAGGCACTTTTTGGAGAAAAGGGATAGAGAAGAAGGAGAAGAGAGGCAATATCTGAACAACAGTCCTTACACATTTGCAATGTAGACATCTTTGTGCTTCTCGATTGCTTCTATGTCATGTTCCAGTTGTCTCAGCTTTAATTCCAGCTCTTCTTTATGCATCCTCTTGTACCTGGTGTCTGTTAGTACTGGAAGTCTCTGAAATGCATTATTTAGGGCCTCCCAATTCTTTTTCAGTGCCTGATGCCATTACATGAAAAGGAAATATATGAGAAAAAATTAAAGTAAGAACAATATGTACATAAACTACTTGAGTTTATTTATGTTACATTTGCTAAGTGTCACACCAATGGAAAAATAATAGGTAAGTACACKAATAATGTGTAATCACCTTAACTGGACCAAATTAATTAAATCCCTAAGAGTTACAATACTTGGAACTCCAGCCAAAATTCAGCAAAATTCAGCGGCAGTTTCAGGCCATCTCACCACCAGCTTAGTTTTCTGTAATTGAGACTTTGTTCAGACCATGGTCACCGAACTGATTCCACAATACTTCTACATAGTACTTTGAAAAAAAACTGAATAATTGCATTCCTCTTCTAAACTACATTTACAATAACAACTACAGGCAATTTATTTATCGTTGGGACTAAAAACCTAACTGTCACTGACCCTACCAATAATAATTCCAGTAACTACTACCTCTCTTGAACACTACTGTGCAGAGAATTACCTTGCTAGATAAAGCAAGCCATATCTTCCATAAATAAAACCTCGAGATTAAAACTCTACCTTAAAAATTTAAAAATTCTATAATCCAAAACTTATTCATAAGCCTGTTAAGTTCACACCAGAAACAACTTTTATCCACCAAATATATGCTGAAAGGAACTAGACTGTGGTAGAAAAATAAAATTTAAATCTTGTCTTTATATCCTTCTTACAATTACTGCAACTATTGCTCTTACTTTCTCTCCTCAAAAGTATAATCAAAATCTATACATCCTATCCACACATATGTGAGGATTTAGTAGAGTTTAGTCAGTGCATCAAATGTCCTATATGGGTGAACTTAATAATCACACCTGACAAGCAACTGAGACAGCAATYAGTAAATAACATAACATGCCTATCAGTGAGGAAACACTTCACCAAAAGATTTATGGCTTTCAGTTCTGTTCATCTTAGAGGATATAATGAGGTATCYTCAAAAATAAAGAACTGAAGTTACTCTTGAGAAAAAAAGAACCAAAGTTTTCAACTCTGCTCCATAACTAAAACTGGATTCAATTGGCAGACTGATTTTATGGTACACTGTGATTTCCAGTCTCATGTCCTCCATTATTATTAAGSAGCTTTTCTCACAGACTGGCAATCTGATGAACATATTGAAGTTAAATTTAGAGGGTTTATTTTTACACATATTTAGCTTTGGAGATTGTTGTTTCTATTTCAGAACTCAAGGGCTCTATTGCTTAAAAGCTTGTCTTTTGTTGACTGCATGAATTAACAGAAAAAAATGAACTGTCCTGCCAACACTAAGAAAAACGTAATCTTTAATATTAACTAATACTTTAATTATTCAAACCAGTGTATTTATTGCATAACAATTTATGCTTTTACGTATTCTTATTAAGCAACATGAAGTGTTGTTCAGAAAGGTTATTCCAACAATCTTCATATACAAATGTCTACCTAAATTAAAAAACCCTACCTCTAGATGTGAAACTTAGAGCAACAAGGATATTTATTTACTGTCTTGTAATGATACTTGTCTATCCAAGGCTGTAAAGTACTTTGATAAAATTYATACTCTACCAGGCATCAGGTACAGTTTACAAATATATAGGCATAAAAGTAAATCTCATCTTTTCAAACATAGAAGAGTCATTCATAGATTCTTTAAATAATTCTTCATTGTGTACWTTAGTAAAAACTGGTTTGGAAATAATCGAAAACAGTGAATTTTAAAACATTAGAGAATACACTCATCAAATTTGCTCATTCCCCACCAARTGGAGAGATCAAAAGCAGATGACTAAAAATCTCCTTCACAGCTCCTCCAACAATGTAATATGCTGACCACTGTTACTATAGGCTAGATCACAAACTGAGTATCCAACTCTGTATATGGAATTCTAACACATACTGGATCAGTGAGAAATATACACTGCATTTATCAACATTCTCTTTTATTTTCATAAAATCCCAACCAAAGTAAGGATAATGGAGAGTTCAAAAAATGTTGGCACAAATTACTTCCCTTTATTTTTGTAAGGTCATGAGGCTTGACTTTGGTGTCAGGCATCTATTGCCACGTATTCTTTCAAATCAGATAGTGCACATGTGTTCACTAGCAATGTCAATTATTTTAAAGGACAGGAATTCCCATATGTCTACAGCTGAGCACTGGGTAGAAGCCACATACCCTGGGGACACTAATTCCTCCTGACAATATGAGTAAGCCCATGAAAGTGCAAACGTTTTTGAAAAAAAAAAAAATAAATAAATACTGAGTTAATAAAAACAATCCAAAAACTTAAAAATTTTAAAAGTACATTCCAGTATTTTAAAAATAGAGAAAATAATTTTCCTCAAACTAAATGCAGAATGGTGAGCAGCTGAACTACATGCTTTTTTTGCACGTATATTTTTGCTGCATAGTTAACTTGCTGGACCATCAGCTTGTCCCATGCCTTCCCCACCATAAAAATATTCTAATCTTCAAAACAGTATGCTGTTTTGTTCTTTATATCGCTGCCAATGCAACCCTCACCTCACTCCCATACACCTTCCTGCTTGTTGTATATGCCAAAGACACCATTGTGCTAGACATTTCAGACCTTGCCCATTAACCGCTTAATCTTGCAGGCAAGTTAGACACTGTTTTAGACACTGTTTTTTCTCTCTAGGTTTTTTTTTGGGGGGTACTCGGCATCTTGAGCTGTCCATCAATCAATTCATTTGTTTCAGGTGGACACTAAGAGCAAGTTATTAAGGGAAGACTGACAAACACATGTCATGTAAGCTTTATTTTCATAGGAAATTTGGCTAAAAAGTGGTCAGGAAAAATTCCAGTTCAAGGACAGGATATACTTTTAAAATGTCTCTTTTATGCTCTACTTCTTTTATGGTATTAATTCTCTTTAGAAAATCCTGTGCAATAAAAACTCTATGAAAGACAATATCCAAAACAGCTTGACAAAATACAAATTTTTCAGTCATAGTTATATGACTACAGTGCAATTTATTTCTGTTTTCTYTTTTTGCCACATTGTAAAACATGACTTTATGCTTTAATCAGCAAGGTAACAATGTGAAGACAGAAACTGCCAAYAAAAGGGCGAATATTCTACGTTTGGAAAAAAAATTGTATTTCTCCATAAGTATCTGCTCTTTGAAGTTTCACTGAAATTCCAAGTCATTAAGGCAGATAAGAATCAAACAGAATTAAAAACTGGATTAAAACTGTAGCTTAGATCGGTTCAATTGTTTACAATTGTTCCACAGCTCCATCTAGTGAAAAAGTAGCAAACTCATTCGTCTCACTTAAAAAAACAAAATAGTATACTTTTATTATTTATATGGACTTACACTACTTCATTTAATCTTTTGGACATGTTACTAATTACACTAAATCAAAATATGCACCTTCAAAATATTTGTCTTTTCTTCATCAGATAGACATTTCATAGCTTTCTTCTTGAGTTCCTCTAAGATGCTGGCCTCATATTCCTCCCTCTCTCTCTTAATTTCTTCATTTCTCCGTGTCACATACGTTGGTGTGACACCATAACTCTGTAAGCAAAAGGAAGAAGTTCCTTGTATGTGATTTGAAGGAAACAAAGAGATACCTGCCATCCATAATATATTACTATATTACATTTGCAAAAATAGCTTGAAATGACAATTTGTGCTACTGAGCACTAAAATTTTACTTCACCATGTTCTTAAAAGTTTCAAACATTATTATCTTTGTAGCCTGAACAAAATAAATAAATTCCTTCAATTTCTTTAAATAACCTTAGAAGACAACAGAATTCAGAAACTGAAATGTCTATAAGAATGGATGGTTGAGCAAGGAGTTTGAAGCCTATTTATGACGGTGAGCTATTTTACCTTTTTACATGATATCAGATTCTATGGACATGGAAACATTTCTTATAAAATTTCTTTGAAAGGTCTTCCTGCACTCTGGTTTTTGCTGAACATTGCAACATACAAAAATACATACATGAAAATTGGAATAGCTAAGAAGGATAAATTATCCCATATGGGATGTGTTTCTGAGAGGAAAAAAATAACGTCGGAATATCCGAAGATATCCTCAGATGTCCTTGGGGAAAACACATGTATATCGCCTTAACCTCTGTAAAATGAAGCTCATCTAACCAGAAGGTATCAGTGTGCCTTCTTTCTAMTAAACACAAAATCATTCACACATCTTTTAGTGTTAGGTAACACCATGAATAGCATTGTTGGTATACATGTTTAGCCGTGGAAAAGTACTACACAGACTTCAGGTCCTTTTTAGCATCTTCTCTGTCATGAGTTACGTCTTAAATGTCATCTCTCTTTTTTGGCATAATACTCTGTCATGAGTTACATGTTTAGATAAGCCAGAGTCTTGATACATCTTACTTTCCTGGGTAGGGGATGGACTGTTCTTGTGCTCAGAAGGTTTTCCCGAAAAGCATGTCAACTCTCTCAAGCTCTTTGCTTCTCAGAGCTGTCTCACATGGAGTCYTGAAGAAGCTGCTGTTTGCTCTCCTGAAGTACAGGGTCAGCACAAGTCGGTCCTCCCTGATGCTGAGCACGAGGGCATTGGAACAACTAACTACATGGCCTGTTCCAACCAGACTACAAYTGATTATCACACCCATGAACAATTCTTTCTTGTTTGGAAGTAGCAGAACTAGAGGAGCATAACCACTCGTTCGCTCATCCACCATCTATGAAGAAAGCTGCTGCTGATATGCTTCAGGAAACACTTCACATTGCTTTCATCCCATTGTCTTATGCTTTCTGCAGATATCAAGGAGAGAGCAGTCTTCCATAAGAAGCTGCTTTGTCATCTGAAGGTTTCCTCAAGTTGCTTAAAGAGATTTCATTCAGTTCCTCACCTTATTGGGTGSTCCATAACAAACACACTTTAGACAGTTGCTGGCCTTTCCTCTGATCCTGACCCACAGGCTCAACCAGCCTGTTGCAATTCCACAGAACTCCGCATATTTGAACATCTCCTTCACTCAAAGGGTAACCCACCTCTCTTCTTCCCTGCCAGTCTTTCCTAAGCAGCTAACATTCAAACWTCACAAAATTCTATGTCTCCCCATTAAACACTCCCTGGGTTCCCAATGCAAGACATATTGCCACTGTTTTAAAACAATCATTCTGCAAATTTTTTTGGCTGACAGCATAAGCAAATGAAAACAGAGCAAAGGCAAGGCACAAATCTAATGCCAGTGATTTCTTCTCGATGAATCAAGAGGTCTAACACAAACAGCTGTGGTATCTAAACATCTTAAAAAGAATAATAATTATTTCACAGGAGAATGCAACAGTGAATATAAAATAGGCATTGCTAATAGTAATTCCAATATAATTTAATAAAACTTACCTTTTTTTTAATGTATTTTGGAACAAGTCCAGAAGGTTCAAGGAGATATTTATCTCCCTGTCTTGTATCAACACAAAAAGGTCGAGGCTTTTTAGGCTCCCCTGTGATAACAGCAACTGCATTTTTATTTACAAAATCCTTGCTAATCCGAATAACTGGGTGGTATGTCCTCAGTGGCAATGTTGATGGACGCAATTTTTTTTCATCCTGTTCTTTTTTTCCTGTGAATAGAGCATGTAAAACATTCTCAGTAATAATCATGAGAAGCTTTTCAATTTCATGTTATTACACTTTTCAAAAGGCAAAAACTATGCACAGCGTTATATAAAAGTAGAACTCAACAGTATCTATAATGAAAGAATTGCCTGTCAATGAACTGTGATGTATGTTTATTTGGCCTAACAGAAGTTTCATAACCTAGGAAATACTATGTTGTTTCAGATGGGTTTTTCTTATATGTCACTTCTTTCCTCTTAACTGCAGTAGTACAAGACTTTTTTCAAATGTAATTATAACTACTTTTAGTAGAGGCACTTGTTATCAGAGCCCTTAGGCAATAATGGTCCYATCCAGTCTCAGCTGGCCTGTAGCCCGATTTTGCCTGATGGTCACTGGGACATTGACAGGACAGGCTTTCCTCACCACCCCACTCTGCYGCCTGCCTGACATGCCGGGACTGGACTGTCTTGGTGAGGTCTTTGCTGAGCCTGCACTGTGGCTGTCCTCAATGTCTGACTCGTCTCTCTGTAGAGAAAAGCCCTACTCTTGCTGCTCCCTAACCCCTGGAAACAAATTCTCACAATCCTCCTTTCAGAGAATAYAGAAACTCTACCATTTTAGTGTAATCTTTTCTCCAAGGCACCAACAGAAATTCAATAGTCTTCTGAGAAGTCTCACTTCTAGTGATCAATTAAGAATAATTATTTCCCATCATATTTCCCACTAGACTTGGGAAAATTCATTATCATTATCAGAAATAACAATTTGATTCAGGCTGTCTGAGTTCACGTTCTTTTTTGGCAGAAAACAAGCGTAACGTCACAAGTGACAAAGCTCATTCCTACAACAGCTGGTTTCCTGATTCTGACCCTATGAACCAGTACTTTCCTGGGGTTTGTTTTTACAACCTGATAGCTTGCCATAACTTAGTACTGTAGGACACACAGACTTAACTCTCTATTGTAAAAAAATACATTACATTGCATGTATTTTCTATCTACACTTACTTGGTGCTAGCTTGGGTTCCTTGGAATGTTTCAGCAGATAATCACTTGGAGATGGCACTGCAACTTTTGCTGGGCCCATAGTTTTCCACTGAGATTTATTTTTTTTTGCTTCATGTTTCACTAATGATCTGTATTTGGATACATACCTTAAGAGATTAAAAAATAGCCATAAAGAAGTTAAGGGTCAGAAAAATATTCAAAATATTCAAAATATTCAAAATACTCAAAAATATTCAAAGAACATACTTCTCTGCAGTAGCTCTGCAAAAGCCTACCCTGTTTTGCTATGAACTCTCTCCCAAACAAAGGCCATCATTCACACAGCCTCCATGCTGAGGCTAATGCCACTACTGCACTACAAATGAGTTTTCTGGTTCTGAAGTTAGTTTGCTTCTTCCTTCTGCTTTTGTGTCTCTGAGGTCAGGATTATCACACTTGGAAAAATGACTATCAAATATAAATACTGAACACAGACATTCTGAAAATCGACAAAATCCAAATTTTGGAAATATACTTGAGTATTGCTTGTATGAAATAATTATGGTACATGGTGTGATTCTTGGGGTGTCCTGTGCAGGGCCAGGAGTTGGACTYAAGGATGGGTCCSTTCCAACTCMGCATATTCTATGATTCTATGATTAATGCCTGAGAAAAGATGCCAAATGTAGTCAAGAATTGTACAGGATGTCCTTGATCATCAATTTTTCTATTACTGTCCCCTGTATCACTGTCTCAATGTTCATGTTGAACCATCTAATGTAGCCTCCTATGAGAGATTAGAAGAGATGGGTGAGTGCTCTAATATAGCACAGCACACTGCAGATTCTTTATATTACACAGATACAAACTACGATCCTGAACAATGGTAATCAGTGGTGGGTTTGGCACTGAAACAGCTGATRTGAAAATCAGTAACGGCTCAAACATGAAAAGCTGTATGCACATGATATGCACACACTGCTGTTTCTGTCTAATGTTGCATATGGCRTGGTAACTTCTGCTTTAATCAAAATCTCCAAAAGAAGCCAAATGCTGATCATCAGCTGATTAGCAACATCTTGCCTCTGTCTGAAGTATTGARCTGTCACAGATGTTTGCCTGAGAAAGCAGAACTTCCTGCTCCTGAAGTAAAGACTCCCTCACTGYATTTTTAAAATCTGTCCATCTTTAGAAAACCTATCATATTAATTTATGATAGGTAGAAGCTTATGAAAAACTATGCTTCTTTACAGTAAAAACCCACGTTTATAAAAGAAACTATACCATGTTTTCAAGTAAGGATAAAAAAGAAGAACAAAAMCGACTACATACAGTGCAACCCATTCTATGGAAATACTGAAATAGGAAAAAAGAAAACATGTATTGATGGGCCACTGAGGGTGCATCATAGTGGCAACACTGATAAAAGCTCTTGCCCATGAGCTGCAAAAGTCCGATACATGTATTTGTACTTGATCATGATATTAGAATAYGTCACAAGACTTCATTAAAATTGCAGAGTTGTTTCGTCTTTTGGTCTCCAAAATCAGAGAGAGGATTATGTACATAAGATTATATATAACTCCTGGAATACTCTTARTTATAAGGAATGAGGTTTTATTTAATTTTTTTCTGTAAAATTCATGGCAAGCAGCTATAAACGTTGCACATACCCACCAAACTGATTAACAGTATTCTGCACCATTTCTAGGAGCTCCATTGTAAGCACACGGGAAAGAAAGGCACTGACTTTATGAGAAGTTTGACCTAGTGGGGTCAACATTTCTGGAATGAGAAGACACTGAGTTTCTTACATATTGGCATGGTAAAGACATCATTTGTAGACAGCTATAGGTATCCCTTTGGAAAAAAAAAGTGGGGCAGCTGTTATCTTTTCAGTGACTTTCCAGGCCAAGAAAGTGGCTGAATGCCACACACCAATAGGTTAGAGGGTTTGCAAGGAAGAAAAAGTTATGGGAAGCATCAGAGTCTCATCTGTTCCGAAAAAGTTATGGGAAGCATCAGAGTCTCATCTGTTCCGAAAAAGTTATGGGAAGCATCGGAGTCTCATCTGTTCCCCATTTAGGAAGGGGAAAAAAAGACTATATATCTGTAAGAAGACAGAAGATAACACCTATTCCTTAGGTGTCATCTTGGGACACCAAAGTTAGGGAAAATGAGGATGTTTGCTGTGGTTTCATGAGTAGTACCAGTTCACTTGAGARAAAAATATAAATTATTTCATTTGGTAAAAAAAAACCCCAAACAACAAACTASGTTTTGTATGCATTAGCTAAAACTGGTCAGACAGATCACAGGTTCAACACTCCTGTTACAGCGGAGTATTTGTCACATTGTAAACCAAAGCGGGAAGGTGGTGACAACAGAAGTCAGTRAGATCAGAAGTGGATTTAGTCAGATTATATCCAAACCAAGGAATCTCTKGCCTAAACTGAACCTGATGGTCATGGAGTATCCCATTCCTATCCTAATACCAATCAGAGATTTGATTTAGTGTGCATGCCCTGACATACTGTTCTTTAACCTTCCTCTGTCTTCAAAAGTATCTCAGTCCAAAAGTATATCCATTCACAATACAAACAAACAAGAGTAAAAAAATCTATTTTTACATGGAAGACTCAGAACTAGGAATCTCACAAGTCTGAATCCTTTTACCTGAAACAGGATAACTATCTTTGTTCTARTGAGCATCACTGATACATCTACTTATTTTAAAGCTATTTAGTTATGACCTACATTACCCTTTCACTGAAGGTGCTAAGAGTAACAGCCTTCTTTTATATRAATAGGGACTTGGAAAAACAACATCTCTGCATAACTCTTGGCAAACCACCTTTAGAGGTAAGAAGTAAGAAAGGAAAGCAAAAGAAACAGTGTCAGAGGACACACCTGACACATGGGAAGTATTGAAATTGGAACTCTGAACTTTTCAGCTACTCACTGAGAAATTGTTGTAAGTAAAAATAACAAAGATGTCACRTAACTCCTGTGCACAGGAGTGCTTTGTAAACTACCAACTAAAAAGATGTCACTAAAGACACTAAATTTRCCATCACTTCACGGAGCAGATTGTAAACCCTCAGATCRCAAACCACAGAATCAATTAGRTTGGAAAAGACCTCTGAATTAYCGAGTCCAAGCTAGGACCTATCACCTTCCTGTCAACCAGACCACGGCACTGTGTATTTCYTYAAACACCTCCCGGGACGGGGACTCCACCACCTTCCTGGGCAGCCCCTTCCAGTATGTAATCACTCTTCTTTATGAAGAATTYCGTACTAATGTCCAAACTGARCCTCCCCTGGTGCAGCTGAGGCCATGTCTTCTCGTCCTATCATTAACTGCCGGGGAAAAGAGGCAAACTCCCMCCCGGCTGCACCCTTCTTTCAGGGAGTCGTAGAGAACGGTAAGGGCACCCCTGARCCTCCTCTTCTCCAGGCTAAACACCCCCAGCTCCCTCAGCTTCTCCTCATAGGACTTGTGCTCGAGACCCTTTACCAGCTTCGTTGTCCTCTGGACAAGTTCCAGCACCTCAGTGTCTTTCCTGCTGTTAGTGACTCTTACAGAGGAGGAGTAACGATGTACAAACTATTTGGGTTTTTTTTTTTTGGTTTTTTTTTTAATACTTGTTACCCGTTAGATATACTGCCTTGCCAGAACCAGCCGCCCTAACTGCAAGGGCTCCATCACGCCCACATACCTGGGAGTTTTGCCGGGCTGCTTTGGAGACGGCGCGGGGTCACCGACGCCCTCCTGGGCACTCTGCGAGGCCATGCGCCCGCCGCAGAACCCCRGGCACGGGGAAGCACCTGCCTGTTTTGTAAGGCTCTGGGCCCGCTGAGAGGTCTGGACACGGCCAAGTGCCGCCTAGCCAAGGGGCTCGGGGCGGGGCCCTGTGGCTGTTGTCAGTTACCGGGGAAACCCGTTACGGGAACGGCGCCATGAGGGGCGGGGCCTGCGCGGCCGCCGCCACCTGCCCCAGCGCGGGGAGCGGAATGGCTGCGCAGGCGCGGCTGCTCCCGGGGCCGCGCGGCGCGGCGCGAGCGCACGGCGCGCGGGGGGAGCCCGGGCGCGCCGGGCCGTTGGACTGCGCGTGCGCGGTACCTGTGGCAGCGCCCCCGCCGGTACGTGCGCGCGCCGCGCTGAGGGCGCCGGGGGCGGGGGTGGAAGCAGCCAGGACAGGGGGGCTGGAACGGGGCGGGACGGGACGGGTCGGGTCAGGTCGGGTCGGGTCAGATCGGATCAGATCAGATCAGGTCAGGTCAGGACAGGACGGGATGGGTCACGGCAGGGCAGCACAGGGGCTCCGCCGCTGCTCGCGAGCGGAGGTCGCAGCCCGCAGCCCCGGGCCGTGCTGGCCGGGTGGGTGGGTGCGGTCCGACCGGCTCGTGCCCTCCTCCTGTTCGCGCCTGGACGCATTCAGGGAGCYGCTGCAGAAGCTTGGTTTGGAGGCTGGTTTTGGGTCTAGCCRAGTAAAAAGGCCCAGTTTTCACTAGAGCGCCTGTCAGCGGCAGTGGTTGTTAAAACTGTGGGTCGTGGCTAACGATGTGTCGGTGCTGTCCACCGCCGTGTGAAGGGTCGAGGCATATTGCCAAAGCAAAATGTCTCTGGAGGCATGGGTGTGAGGTCTGCTGCAACAACCCCACCCGTCTGACATAGCGTTTGTATCTATGGGTGGGTGGATCATTTGAGCTGTTTTTAATGTTGAAATTTGCCAGTGGACAAAAAATTAAATAAGGGGTTATATTAAAGGGTATAAGGGGTATTATACAGGCTTCTGTACATGTACTTTATGTGGGTGGGTGCWAAATTGGGTTACACTGGAATAGCTTGAAATGAGGAGCTAAATAAAGGAATCATCAGCAAGATTTTGCACCAGAATAACTTAAGTTGATTTTAAACAATACCTAAGGCCTAAATTTGTAAGGCAGCCTAGATATTACACCCATTATTTGTGTAGTGCACACCAAGCGACTGCGGCTCAAGTTAATTTGTAGTGGAGCAGGACACGGCAGGCAGGGCACTGTRCTTGGCATGGTTTTCACTCCTTTAGTGCACACTCACGATGCTTGAAGTGTTTTTTACGTTCAAGAAATAAAGTCATTAAAATATTATCTCTATGTTTTTTGGGTTTATTTGCTCCTGTATATAACTTCTTTACATCTGCAAGTTTAATATGAAGATCTTCTTCTGTCCCTAAAAGGAACATATACATCTTTCTGTATGTACTAGGGTGCATTACCATTGCAGTACTAGCTTTAGCGTAATACTGGATATTACTCTTCGCAGTTTGTTTTTCCTTTTTAATAACTATTGCAATAAAGCCTTACATCTACACAGGATGATCCCCTTATACTTTACAAGGACTGGGCAAAAAAAACCAAAACTGTACAGTATGGTATGCCTATCTTTACCCTGATCTCTGCCTTATAATTACAGCATATTCACCTGGTCGCAACATTGGGTGCAAACACGGAAACTTAATGTTTGTAAGCTCAACTTATAGAGGTGAGCAAATGCTCTTCCCTCTGATCCCCTCTCAGTTCTAGGGAGATTTTGAGAGTCTTTTCCCCTTTACTCTAAACATCGCAGACAAATAATGTGCTCCGATTAGTGCTGAATTTAATGTGCAAAGCACAACGTTGGGAGTTTATTTCTCTGTGGGAAACCTGTGATTCTTACTCTTTTTGTGGGTGGAGTGTCCTCATGATTTTTCTCTCTGTATCTGTGTCTCTCTCCTTCCTTCTACCTGCAAATTACATTCAATACAATTACAGTATAGGAATTCTTCAAAAATCCCTTGCTTGGTTTGCCTTCCCTTCAGAAGAGATTTGAATGCCAACTCATCCAGCCTTGCTGTTGCAAAAGACTGTGAGTTACCTGTGTATTTAAGTTGCATTTGTTTTTATAGAAAATATTTAAAAAAATCAAATTTTTCTTGGGTGGTGGGACAAATGCATATTTTGTTAAGATTTTGATTACAAGAAGGTAATCAAGTGAATTGTTACTTATAAATGTGTAGTTAAAAGCAAGTCTACTAGAAGAAAAACTAATTGACTTTGAATTCCTATAAGCAATATTATTTGCAACCAGTATTATAGTTTTAGGTTTGCATGTCTTTATTTACCTTGAGGACATGGACTGTTTGAAGTTGGATTTGTCTGTGGAAGCAAGCTGGAACTATGCAGGAGGGGGGAATGAGTCTTACACTGAAAAATACCTCCTTTGCACTGATGAAATCGTAGCTGGATTTATGTTTGAAGTCTTGTTCTAAATTTTATATCCTTGAGGATTTTTTCCTAGGTGTTTGCTGAAGGGCTAGTTACTGTTTATTATTTGTTTGTTTGTTTGTTTGTTTTCTTTTCTTTCTGAAGCACTTAAGAGGATTGTCAAGCTGTCTTGAAAAAAACCCTGCAATCACTCATCAGAAAATGTTTCACATTTTCCGGTATCAGCCTTTAAGACTAATAACCCAAAAAAGTCTTTCCAGCATGTGTTTAAAACTGATGCTTTCAAGACCTGTTGCATTTGTACAGATATGGAAGTCCTGGTTCTCAAGTCATTCTCTTCTTGGAAAGAAAAATATTATCCTGATGGGACCTCCAGGTGCTGGGAAAACAACAGTTGGGAGAATAATAGGCCAGAAACTAGATTGYCCTGTCATAGATATAGATGATGATGTCCTTGAAACAACCTGGAACATGAGTGTGTCAGAAAAACTGCAGGATGTTGGTTATGAGGAATTTCTAGAGGAGGAAGGAAAAGCCCTGTTGAAGTTCTCAGCATCTGGAAGTGTAATTTCCCTTAGTGGGTCCAATCCAATGCATGCTGCTGGCATGCAGCACATGAAGAAAAGTGGAATAGTTGTGTATCTGGATGTGCCCGCAAGAGTCATCATGAGCAGGCTGAAATCAATGGAAGTGGATCGTATCGTGGGCCTGTCTCCTGGTGTTTCTCTMAAGGACATACTTCAGTTTAGGAAGCAGTTCTACAAAAGGTGGTTTGACATCCGTGTTCTCTGTGGAGGGGATATTGCAGCAGAGGTTGTAGCAGAAAAGGTTCTTGATGCTGTGAAGAGATACCAAGACTCAGAACTGGAAACTTTCATTTCAACTCGGTCTGGTGGGACTGGAAGGAGTATGGRAGAAGACTCTCACAAATATTTCAGTGACGTTGTCACTCAGGGCTTAGCCCTTGATGGAGGACTCTTTGTTCCTGAGAGAGGACTTCCAAAATTCACTGCTGAAGAATGGCAAAGTCTGATAGAAGCAACTTACACTGAAAGAGCCCAGGTGATATTAGAAAGATGCATACATCCTGCTGATATTCCTGCTTCTAAACTGGCAGAAATTATTGAAACTGCTTATGGAGAAAACTTTAGTTGTTCTAAAATTGCCCCAGTTAGGCATCTGGCAGGCAATCAGTTTCTTCTTGAGTTATTTCATGGACCAACAGCATCATTTAAAGATTTTGCACTACAGTTGGTGCCACATTTATTTGCCTACTGCATTCCCAAAACCTGCAATTACTTGGTTCTGGTAGCTACTTCTGGGGACACAGGGAGTGCTGTTCTAGATGGCTTTAGTCGTCTCCATGACACTGACAAACAGAGAATTGCTCTGGTGAATTTTTTTCCTGAGGATGGAGTAAGCCCAATTCAAAAATCACAGATGATTGCCTGTCAGAAAGAAAATGCTTGGTCAGTGGGTGTCAAATCTGATTTTGATTTTTGCCAGACAGCTATAAAGCAAATCTTTACTGATTCTGATTTTACTGGCTTTCTTACAGTAGAATATGGAACAGCTTTAGCTGCAGCAAATTCCATAAACTGGGCACGACTGCTTCCTCAGATTGTTTATCAYGCCTCTGCATACCTTGATCTTGTTCATCAAGGTATTATTTCATTTGGAAGCCCTGTAGATATTTGCATTCCTACRGGAAACTTTGGCAACATATTAGCTGCTTTCTATGCTAAAATGATGGGAATTCCTATTAGAAAATGTATTTGTGCTTCCAATGAAAACAATATTTTGACTGACTTTATAAGAACAGGTGTTTATGATTTGAGGGGAAGAAAATTAATTTCCACTTTTTCACCAGCAGTAGATATTTTGAAGTCCTCCAATCTTGAGCGATACTTACACCTGATTGCTAATGAAGATGGACAACTGGTGACACAATTATTTAATCAGCTGGAAAATCAGGGCCACTTCCAGCTACGTAAAGATCTACTTGGAAAGCTTCAGCAGGACTTWGTGGCTGGCTGGTGCTCTGAAGAGGACTGTCTAGCTGCCATTCACTCTGTGTACACTACTACAGGATACATTTTGGATACACACACAGCTGTTGCTAAAGTAGTTGCAGATCGATTACAAGATAGAACTTGCCCAATTATTATTTCATCTACAGCTCATTATTCTAAGTTTGCACCTGCTATCTTGAGGGCCTTGAGGATTGCAGAAATAAATCAGAATCCATTAAGTCAGCTTCACTTGCTGAGTTCTTACAGCGCTCTGCCTCCAATCCACTGGGGCCTATTAGAGACCCTGAAAAAGACAGGAAATGGGAATCACCAYGTCTGTGCTGCTGATAYGAGTGTGCTGATGTTCCATATCGAAAACTTAATTCAAAATCATTTTATGAAAGTTTTTTGAGCARCTGATCCAAYGTCCACAATTGCAATACCTTAACAAGCTGCATGTTTTACTAAAGCCATTATTCATCTGGCCTGTGTSGAGTCCACAGCATATCACAGTTTTATATTCAGTTGTCAAGCTTTCAACAGTATTTGTAAGTAACATGTGTGAGATTTCTAGTGGCAGTGAAAGGTTGTGAATTGAGAGTGTAAAAAACTGGAATACCATTTTGCAGG